TTGAAATATTTATAATAGTATTGGGTCAGGTAGGGCATAAACTATCAGCTTGTGAAGGGAAAGGTTAGGTTTTAGTGGCCATGAGTATCTGGACACCAAGAACGGCCTAGTTCTGTGCTGTCACACAGCTGAATCTTTCCTCCCTGCAGCAGCAGCTAACTTTAAAGAGACATATATTATGGTACTCCTAAACTATAATCAACTTACCCAAGCTTAGGAATCCTTCAAAGATCAAACTGGTATTTTGAATTTAATCAGAGAGGTGAAATACTTCTGTACACCTAGGAAGTCTGGCAAAGAATGACCCGCCTGATCTCGCTTGTCGTCTCTAGAAAAAACGTGTCGGATTAGTACACCAAGGAGTAAAAAGGCTTCTATGAATTCTGAATATTAATCTAGAAAATATCTATTCCACAATTGCAAGTTTGAAAATGTAGACTTTTCAAACCAACTAGAATGTATAGAAATACACATCACGCCAGATAGAGGTATACATAGATATGAGGGACTATATACCCACCGGAGGGGTCTAAATTTAAAATGTGAGCTGCCTGCTAGGGGCGCCAACCTCACGAATAATCCAATGTGCAGGGTTTGGTTGATTCACTTCACAATAGTATATATCCCTGTGGAGGTGTGTGAATGTTGGTACATATGTGTGTAAGTGAGTGATTGGGTTTGCGTGTGTATGTGTGTGTGTGTGTTTTACCACTTGTGCTTTTGTATTGTTACTTGATTTTCATAAAATGCAAATTAATATTTGAATATAACATGGGTTATTGATAAATTACAACTGCTGTGTGAAAGATGGGTGTACGTATGTGTGCGGTAAATGAAGAAATGTGAAAGATGAAAGCGCCGAATGTACGACGGGTCTGCGTGCCCAATTTGTGACCCTGTAAAAATAATATTCGCTCGTTCGTTCGTTCGTTCCTTATAATTTATTTAGTTAATTACAAGTTAGTTGACAGTTTATTAGCTAGTTAGTTTTTAGTATTCATAAGGTAATTGTCAGTTTTTTAGCTAGTTAGTTTTTAGTTTTTATAAGTTAATTGTCAGTTATTAGCTAGTTAGTTTTTAATGTTTATAAGTTAATTGTCAGTTTTTTAGCTAGTTAGTTTTTAGTGTTTATAAGTTAATCGTCAGTTTTTTAGCTAGTTAGTTTTAAGTGTTTATAAGTTAATTGTCAATTATTAGATAATAATTTTTTTAGCTGGTTAGCTTTTAGCGATTATAAGTTAATTGCCAGTTTGTTAGCTAGTTAATTTTTAGGTGGTTTGCAAATTAGTTAGTTTGTTAGCTAATGTTTTATGTAAGGGACTGTCTTATCTATGTATACGTACTTAATCCGTTCCAGATCCTTAGACGTATACCAAACAGTTATTATACCAAACAGTACGTATACCAACTTAATTTTATCATAAGAAATAGAGAGAGAATGATCAATCTTTCTCATGAAAGAAAAGTCCTATTGCTTTTCGCATATTACAATGATCTGGTTTTATAAATTAATGCTGTGTAAAATAATTTTAAGAAAAAGAAGTTGCGGAGGAAAAGATAAAACAGCAAGAATTTCTATCGACACTATTACAGAAGCAAGCAACATAGAAGATGAGCGGCAGACTTTTGAAACATGCATCCTGAACCCAGTGAAAGAAAATTACGGTCTCAAAAAACTGGGCACTCATATAAAACATACAATGTTGTGGAATAATGATGTTAAAATTTTTACCCAGGAAAAGAAAACATGTTTTTTTTTAAGTGGTAGAAGACAAAATAGACAAAATCAAATGAAGACTACATCAGCCATGGACAAGCCAGAAGAGACCTCAAAAGGAAAGTTAGTAACCAAGAAAGTTTTACAGAAGTGTCAAAGCAATAAGACAGAGAGAAGAAAAGTTTAACCACTCCACAGTTATTACCAGCAAGAGTAAGAAACCACGCACCAGCAGTCCAGATATTAACGAAAGATGGAAGGAATATTTAAGTGAGCTGTTAAACTGGGGAACACCGGATGAAGTACCAAACCAAAATAAATTTGCTGAAGACTATGGATCACAGATACTGGAATCTGAAGTTGAAAATGTTCTTGAAACAGAGTAAAATGAATAGATAGTATAATAACAAAAATGCTTCTTGAATGTAAGACAACAACAACAGCTTGGTAAACCTGAATCTTTAGCATGGCTTGGGGTGCAGGGCAAGTTCCAAGTGACTGGCAGAGAGCAATCATTGTCCCCATTTGGAAGAATAAAGGGGACATTAGAGACTATCAAACATACAGGAGCATCTCCATCCTGAGCCACACTAGAAAGATGTTGGCAAAAATTATTGGAACCCAGTTAAGTAAAAGACAGTTCGGTATCAGGAGGGGAAAGATCTGTACACATTCGTTATTTCTTTAAAGGCAGATATGTGAGCAATCTATTGAATATGATAGAAGGCAACACCGTGTATTTATAGATCAAAAGAAATCGTTTGATCGAGTCAACAGATGAAAACTGTGGAAAATTTCTAGAATTTTATGATGTTCGAAATCAACTGTTGAGTAACGTCATGGCTCTTTACCAAGATAGTCAGTGCACAATAAGAACAACAGAAGGAATGACAGGCTAGTTTCCCATCTATACAGATGTAAGACAGAGATGTGTCCTCTCGCCATTGCTATTCATTACTTGCATAGATAGAACAACACAGGAAAAAAATACAGACACTGGAGAAATCAACAATACACCAGCAAGAACAGAAATAACAACACCATATTGACTGGTCAGGTCTGGTCTGGTAGTCTTCGTTTCTGCTTCATAGCAAACGGGTCACCCCGTCTTTGCGCCGCTCCTGTGCTAACGATAAACACACATAATGTTTATCACAGTCCCTTGTGGAAAGATTGACAGACTGCTGTCTCAGCATATCTAGCATATACTCACATTCAAGCATACGGTAGCCACCCGAAGTGCTAACATAAACAGTCCGACATTAGAAATGCAGTTCATCATTGATGGTAGCAGAAGTCACCAACAGATCAGCAGTTGCCCACGCGATCAATTTTAATCACATACCATCAACATTGCAACGACAGGAATCGCGCCATTTTCCGAATCTACAATTCATACCACCTCGTTAGTCACAGTCGAAAAAACATTCCAAAGGAAATCCACAGCTCACAGTGTCACGCCATGCATTCAACTTAGAAGCTAGGCGAAGAAACTATGTCCAGTTTACAAATGTATCAAAAATGCATTGGCCATAGTCCCGAAGAAGCAACAAATTTGCCTCGGCTCCAAACAGTGCTACTGCCTAGCGTCAATTTTGACCGGGAGCCAAAAACTATATTGACTACTTACATCAAGCCTGCACAAAGTATTATATGACAATAAACACCACGAAAACTGAGGTAATAAGGATAGGCAGGAAACATAATATCAGGAACGTTCATGTTAACCTTACTTTGATCAAACAAGTAATAGAATTCAAATAGCTAGGAAGCGTGTTCACGGTTGATTGCGGACTCGATAGGGAGATAGAAGCCAGAGTTAGTTAGTTGCGTATCCTTTACAGGACGTTGCAGAAGCAACCCCAGCATTTGTTGACTGTTGTGATTTTTCTAGGCAAATTTTACGTTCAGTAGTTTGCCATTTTTTCCTAAACGGTTAGCTTTCGGCACCACTGTCGAAACCAGCGCAAAACAAATCGTCCGCAGCAGGGATCGAAACCGGCACTTTTAGATTGTTTGGGATCTGTTGGGATCGTAATTGTGTGCAAAGTTTTTTTATATCAATCAATTCGGCAAACGTTCCTCTGGTAATGAGCGAGGTAAACAATGGTAGGGCGCATTGTCGTGACCCAGTTTGACCCATGCCAGTTCTAGCATCCCGAGTCGTGTTTCAAAGAAAGGTCAAATACCTAGTTACAGTTTTTAGCGTCTAAACAGGAAGTATACCAATTAGGATGTATAACTAAAGTAGACTATGTCGAGGTACCAAAGTGATTAAAAAGTTTTTTAAAAATCTACCCAGAGTATTTCAGGATCCTCACCGGTGCTACAGAATTCGTGCACTGTGCTGATTTTTTTTTTCGGACTCAGGCTTGAGTTTGAAAGAGAACGGAGCACTTATGGGTCACTACTCTTGTGCCGTGATATGGATCCGTTGTTCAAACCATCAAACCAAAGCAATTGATTAATTGGTTCCCTATTAGTTATATAACCTATTCTAAGTTGTTGATTTTTTTTTTCTAGTTAGTGTTCTATTAATTGGCATGTTGATTGTTAGTATTAGATAGTTTCTTAGTAAAAAAAAAAAAAAATTGGAATATTAGTTCCTGATTATTTGAATATTAGTTCGCTGTTATTTAAATAGTTCTTAGTGAGTGTGTAAGTTTTAACTACTTTATAGTTAGTTGCTGGCTACTTAGGTAATGTATTTAACAATAAGATTATAATATAGTTGCTAGTTAGAGGTTAGACACATATTTATAGAGACCAATCGACCATCGATTGGGCGATGTGGTAACCATCACGCCGACCGTCTTTACTTCCCATGAGTTTACCTGGTACGCCTACCACGCTGGGATGACCTGGATGTCAAGGTCATTTTTGAAAAATAAATATAAATTTATCTGATTTGAACCAGAATCCTTCAGGCTAGAGTCAGGGTGTCTAATACCAACGCCACTTCGTCTTCCAATGTTAGGATTTACTTCTGATTTTAAAGGTAATGATTTATAAAAAGTGAAAAGCAAAGGACTCTTTTTCACGCCTTTAGGCGTATAGGGCATATATGGCTAGATCTATATTTTATAGACCAATCGGCACAAGATGGGTGATGTGGTCAGCATCACGCCGACCACCTTTACTTCTATGGACTGCACCCGGTACCCACTCAAGGCTGGGTCGACCTGGGAGCCAAGGTCATTTTAATGATTTAAACGTATACGTAATCTCTGAACATCTTATATCAAGTAATGATGTATCTACTTTACACGTCATTTCTTCCCAGAATACAGTTTCACAAATAAACGACCTTGTACCAACATCTAAAGCCATTGATGAAATTCCTTCCCAGGGCCACTATCTCATTATTATGACCCATTACTATCATTTCACCGCAAGTCATATTAGTTCTGCTGAAATCATGTTTCGGAGCATTAAGGAATCGTTGGTCCGACTGCTCAAACGCAACCCAAATGTCCAAGTACTTTTACAGGTAAGATCTGTACTTGTCTTTTTCTCGTAGTTTATTTACCAGTTAACAGTTTATTTTCAAAAAAATATAATTATAATTCAAAATAAAAAAAGATGCATGTCAGCCTGGGAAGTAATACGATTCAAGAAGACAGAACGTTCAAACGAACCTCCCACCCCCTCCCCCTTCCTCACCCCCACCAAAGAAAAAAAAAAAAACGAGCTGTTGGTCAGAGAGAACAAAGGGGCTCGATTATATTCAATTTGTGATATCGAACTGATTGCAAAGGGTAGTGAGAAATGAATTGTGACCTCGATATGGCATGACATTCTTAGAATATTTTTGGACAAAGAGGAGGAGAAATACTGACATCTTGAAAGATCTAAACATTAAGGAAGATTGGCTAATAAACAGCATCCTCTCTCGAAAGCTAAAATATTTTTGTCATATCAAGCGCCACAACGGATTGGGAAAAAATTATAACAGAAGGCAGGGTACCAGGAAGGAGGGGCAGGGACCGACCAACACGAAGATTAACATAGGATATAAGTGACTTATTGAGTATGAAAGTGCATGAGGCGGGAGAACTGACGAGACACAGAGTTTCTTTCCGGCAGACCGTGATGAGAGCGACGTCATGCAAAGGACCTGCTACATGATGATGATGATATGACATGAAATGGCACAAGAGGACAATGATGATTAAGATGATGATGATGATGACGACGATGATGATGATGATGCTAATGACGATGATGATGATGCCGATATTTTAGCTTGAACAGTAAGCACAAGTAATACCAACAACAGTCTGACTTTGTGATTTAGGGCATCGATGTCAACATCAAGAAAACAAAACACGGAACATTTAGCGGGGAGGGGGGGGGGCGCTAAGGGGGCTTATTCCTAGTTTAAGAGCATATTATAATAATAAGAATGTGGGGAAAAGCAAATACATGTATGTTATATATTTAATGTGAAACGTATATAAAATACTTTTGAAGAGTATTTTCCCTATATAGCTAAAGCTGGTCGTTTTGACTACTTATATAATTTTTCTTTAGGGACCCTCAGCCGCCGCTACCCCTCCTTTTCTCAAAATACTTTCAGGAACTCGCCCCCCCCCTCCCCCTGCCCCATCCCATGTGCTGGCATCTACGACTTGGGGGTTATGAACACAGTGGTAAAATTTTGTGTTTGATTCAACTGCAGACTGTTTCCAGCGGACAGGTTTGTGTTGCTTTTGGCAAAGGATGGGATATTGACTGTTTAGTAAAGTTTAGGACCCTTTCAGGCGTATTGTGTATATAGGGCTAGACCTGTATTTTATAGACCCAACCACACTTGGTAGGTGATGTGGTCAGCATCACACCGGCCGCCTTCACTTCCCAAGACTGTACCTAGTACCCACACAAGGCTGGGTCTACCTGGGAGCCAAAGTCATTTTTGGAAGGGAAAAAAATCTGGCTCTCGTCAGGAAACTAACGACCTTCCGATCCGCAGCCGAGCGTCTTGCCGCTAGACTACGGCGGCTCCCGACTGTTCAGTAGGCAATGTCAAATACTGAAAGTACGGTAAGCGTACCGGGGTTAGTTTTTGATGTTCCTGGGATGTAAAGGTGGCCGGGGTTATGTTGACCACATCGATCACCAAGTGTCGATTAGTTAAAAAAAATTTTAATTTTAGAGGTCTAGTCTTATATTCCTAATTCGACTGAGGGCATTTAAAAAAAAACGTCCTTTACTTTTGTGAGGCCCTGTAAAGGATACGCCACCAAGTTTTGTTTCAGCTTTGTGTGACTAAGCCTTGTATTTTAAAATGGAAAAAAAAAAGTATAGTCGGCATCGGCCTTTATCCTATTCAAATAAATTCTGCAAATAAGGCTAGCCACTGGCCCACTTGGAAAAAATCCCAAAACATAAACTCGTGAACCTAAAACGTCCGACAGCTATTCCACCACCCTCAAAAATCACAGTAAAGGACTCTTTTCGTCCTAATCGTCGCCTACACTTCCCATTGCCAAAGAAAAATTGTTTTGCTACTGTATTTATTATTATTGTTTATTTAATATTTTTTTTTAATTACACCTAGCGAACATAGCGGGTAAAAAATGTTCACTGCATGCTTATACGACTCACACAGAATTTGGAACGTGTGAAAACTACTAGTTACCAGTGCTACAATGCTAGTTGTGCTGTGCACGCATAATTTCAACAGCAAAGCGACCAAGATAAAAAAGTAATCACGTAATACCCTCTCCGGCGCGCCTGTTAACTGCTAGCGTTTACACGTTCGAATTTATCACGCTTCGCTATTGTTTAAACGCCAAAATGGCCTGGTGGAAGGAAAGACATATGGCGCGTACATTTTCTGGAAGTGGCCTGGGGAAGAGGGGGGGGGGGGGCTAGTCAAAGACCAATCTACGCGATGGTGAATACAAGATTTTGAAGATGCATTGATTATAAAAGCACATAGGGCTGTAAGACTGCTCAGAAGGATAGAGACTCTCAGGCTGTTCATGTAAGGAAACTGCTAATTGATGATGAGTATTATCTACGAATGGTGTATACTGATGAGAGTGTTATGGCCGCTTCATTCGTTTGGTAATTCCCAACTTTTTTTTTTTTTTTACGGGAAGCTATTCGTTTAAAAAATGTACTCCCTGAATGTTACTATCAAATATGCATACTATTCAACAATTCAATTCTACAGGGCCCCCATGTGGCGTGGCGAGGCTGGGCCGAACACTACGCGGCCGGGGACATGTTAGGCACAACCATAATGGAGATGCAACGGGAAATATTTCATGACATCAGAGATAGAGTTGTGTTTTACTCCCCCTGGGATATCACTATCGCCGTTGAGAACCTCGATTATCATCCATCGATCAACAACGATATTTTTCACATGATTTTTGCTTTCTTGTGCGGGAGGTAGCGTCTCATATGTGTTGAGAATCGCTGTGTGTATATGGGTGTTGTCAATTAAGATGACCATGGCCATTCTTTTTCATTAAGTATGTGTACGAACATGACTGGCGAGGCCGATGCGGGCCAGAAAAGTTCTTAGACAGTGAGGCCAGGGAAAGATAGTGATGAAAGAGTGACTTGCGCTGTGACTTGGTAAACGTGAGGAAGAGTTGCGCAGTATCGTCGACCTCACTCTCTCGCCTGAGTCAAATCTGGTCTAGTGGCAAGACACAGTCAAGATGACTGGAGATAGGTCTAGGCGCAGTGGATGACCAGAGCGTTCTACGGTATCGTTGTATGGCAGCTCAAGTACGTAACAAAGCAAATGTTACAGTATCAAGACGTGAAATATGAGTATCATAGAAGTTAAAGGTGTTTCTGCAATTGTTTATGATGAGGGCATTAGGTCAATTATTTTCCATTACCAATGTACATAAATGAGAAGAATAGATGTTGCGTATGTAAAAAAAAAATGAAAATTAAAAAAAATGTAATAATGTGTTGTATTTTCTAGTGTAAGTGTTTATTTACAATTAAATAATATGTTCCAATCTGTACTCAGTGTATTTCATCATCATCATCATCATGCCTTGTCGGCTGGCGTGGGCGATCATGCCTCTCCATAATCCACGATCTCCTGCAGCACGTATCAGTTCGTGTGCCGACACACCTCCATGCCAGGCAACAAGACGGCAAAGAATCTTCTCTCATTGTCTTTCTCTTTTCCTCCTTCCACAGATCTTTCCAATGGTCACAACATGTTCTATTTTCCCTCTTCTCATAACATGGCCGAAAAATGTTGACTGTCTCCTTCTGATGTATGTGATAATTTGTCTTCCGAGCCCCGCCTAGTTCAAAACTTCTTGGTTGCTCTTTTTGGCTGTCCAATGTATTCTAAGCATTCTTCTGTAACACCAATTCTCTGAGTCCCCAAGAAATTGTTTGGCCTGTCTACCGGTTGTCCAGGATTCACAGCCATGTATTAAAACTGGATGTATGTAGCAAGCAAGAATTCTTTTTCTAACTCTCAATGACAAGGATATATTGTACAAGATATTCTTCGTTTTATATGTATTTACACATATTAATTATTGACCTTTCTCTTTTTGAGTTCTAAATTGCACAAAATATCCTCGCTCTAATTAGATTCGGATGAGTCTCAGAGGTTGATGACAGCTGTCGGCTGAATGAAGCGCAAACTATTGTTCTGTCCGTAAAGGTCTTCTTCCTTCATTACATTGTCTGCACATTTGATTCAGGATTGTTTGTTAATGTCTGAGAAGGAAGCATAAGCAGTTTTCTTTACATTCGAGAGTTTGAAAGTTGTACTGTTACTTGCCAACTTTCCGTGTACAGAGTGGCATGCTTCACTGCAGAGTACAAGAGTGAGAAGTATTGTCTGGATTTTTTCTCCAGGAGACTCCGGTTTGTTGGGAAATGAACAGGCAGACAGACTGGCTGGCTCTGCACAACTTGGGGAGGGGGGGGGGGATACTGATGGATGATAAGGAAGACGTGGTTAGTGCCTTGTGGGAGAGCACGTACAGTTCGGAGAAGCAGATTGATCACCAGTCTGGTGAGACTGATGCAGCGGGGAGTGACGAGAGGTTGTGGCAGATGCTCGAGGCTCAGAGAAAAGGCAAGACGGACGTTTAATCAGAAGGCTACTCGCACCATTAGCATTGGAACTCTATACTGGCCGATGAAGGTGGGGACGGAGCGCTTATGAGAATGCTCCAAGAGCTGTGATGTTCGTTCTTGAATCAACTCAACTCAACTCAACCCATGTAAGTGGGAATTGTAAGGTGCATTTAACACAAATGACCATGCTTCTGCATTATTTCATCAGTCGGAAAAGTATGTCCGATACGCATTATTTACAAGTGACAACAATTCAACAATTGAAATTCACAATATGTTTAAATCACCACTGATCACTGGCATCATGAGAGCTAATAGAATGAAATGGTTGGGTCATATTGACAGAATGTCAGATGACAGACAAGTAAAAACTGTATACACCAGGGAAATGAATGGTCGTAGACCATGAGGCAGACCAAGAAGACGATGGAGAGATAATATCAAATCAGACCTGCAAACACTTGATGTCACCAACTGGAAAGAGAAGGCCAACCAGAGAGATGAATGGATGCGAGTAATGTCTGCAGCAATGAACCTAAAGGAATTCTGAAGAAAAAGAAAACAATTCAGGCCTTAGGTGTATATTCGTATATCTAATATGATCCATCGTTAGTCATATTTTATCTCCTCTTTAGTACATGGTGATGTGGTACCTTGCTTTCCACTGCCATTGTATTATATGAGAAGGAGCATTATTCATTGCCAGAGATTCAGAAAATGGTGAGTGGCCTGTTGTCAGAGAACTGGTGGTGCCTTAGGCAATTAGCTACGTGTGCGGATACTGATCTGTTGTAATTACTGTTTCTATCGACGATGAACTGCGTGTCTGGTTTAGGTCTTCTTATACTCGTCCTCTTGTTTGTGTAGCTGATCTTCTGAAATGTGGTGCGTGTGATGGTATTTGATTTTGCTGAATTCCAAAGAGATGGCCAAACCACTTGATCTGCTGCTTCTTGATGAATCTAGTACAAGGTGTCGCTCCCACAATTTGCCTGACAGTATCATTATTAACTTGATTTCGGATAGTTAGATTGGTGGCTTTTCTTGTGCATCTCATCTCGCAAGTGGTGATTTTGCGTACATGGGATTTAGATAGGGTCCACTTTTGGCACCGTCAGCTGAATGTTAGAATAAATATGCTGTTTATAATATGTCTCTCTGCACTCATAGTTATACTTGGATGTTTTAATAATAGTGACAATTGGTATATATGTGTACTTGCATTCTGACACCTGGTTTCTGTTATAGCGACTGCTATTTCCAACATTCGACCACAGAAAGCTCAGAAAGAAGAGAAAAAGAAAATCACAAAAGAAATTAAGAAAGAGTTTGTGAGAATATGAGAAAGGAGTCATGCTGATTGATCCGTGAAAGTAGTATAACTTGCCCGAGTTCACTATTGCTACTGTTCTCAAGAAAGCATATTTTATAAGAAACTGGATGTGGCCGAGGAGTCTCTCTTCTTCTTCTTTGCGTTCTCCAGCTGCAAACTCTGGTGAACATTTCTGGTTGTTCATCCACTTCTGGACTGTAGTCCTGCTCCAGTACCTGAGTGTTGCATCTGCATCTGTTTGCAGTCTGACTTATTTGTATGCAGACTATTGGTCCCTTGCCTCTTAGGCAGATGCACTTTGATTTTAAAGGAAGCTCCCAATTAGTCGACTTTTAGGACATGCTTTTGGGTAGGCAGTGGGTCTATTCTTGTTTTCCCTACGATGTTACCCTGGAACCCACACGGGGAGCTGAAGTTGTATCTTTCGTGTCATCTCGAAGAAATAAAGCAATAGCATAAATTGAAACTTTACTACTCGCCTGGATTGATGACACTTAATTTAAAGCAGATCGTGTATCTCGAAAAATAAACTATTTAAACGCTTAAGCTCTTTACAATGACCTATCAGAGAATTTTCTATCCACTGCAAAGTTACACATTACTGTCGTTCCCATGTGGAATGCAATTTTTAGTTATTTGAAGCCCCAGCCTGGTTTTTGCCGGGGGGGGGTGGGGGGGGGGGGGGGGGCTAAAAATAGCCGGACCATAAATATGGCCTAACGGCTGAACAGGGTTTCTGGGACCTATCCACGGGGGATCCTCATCGACATGGTGGCACTTTGTGTCACTGGGTGTTTATTCCTTTGTGTGATGTCCTGGTGCGGTACAACTTACAAAGATACAGTAGCAAAGAAGACATCGGTAAATATTTTAAATCTAGCAAAGTATGGTTTGAGAAACTGAAAAATAGAACCGGTATCCACTGTTGTTTGACAAATTTGTCAACGAATTTCAGAAACTAATGGCGTCAGAGGTTTTCAGGCCACAATAAAATTTCAATGAAGACGAAACTAATCTTTTCGGGAAGAAAATATTTCAGAGAAAGTTCATCAATAAGGAGGAAGTTACCCGGACACAACCAGTGAAAGGCAAACTTTGTTCCTTTGTGCCATTGCCATTGGTCATTTGAAGATGAAACTTTAGTTGGTTTATCACTCCGAAAATCCTGGACCTTTTAGACAACAAAAAGCTAACAGACTCAATTTTTTTTTTTAATTTAAATCTTAGAACGGATTAAACGATTTCCCAAAATACGTAATGAGAAATTATGTTTCGAGATACGAACTTTTGGAGATACGAACTTTTCGAGATACGGTTTGAAATGCCAGCTGTTCGAGACATACGAACCACAACCAAGGACGAATTAGGTTATAATTATAATATGCTGAATGTCAAAAAGATACGATACGCTCGCAATATTCTTGAAATGATATGAAATGTATGAAAAAAAATTCTTCTTCTCAAAGCCACGCCGTCTGGAGCATGTAGTCATGTTTATCCACAACCTTCTGTCTCGTGTACTTTCAATCAACTCTGACGCAGATGATTCTCCATGCCGTTATGTCAAACTGTCCAGCATCTGTTCTCTCGGTCTCCCTCTGCCTCTCCTCTCCTCCTACTTTCCTACCGTTACGATGTCCTCTAGTTTTCTCCTTCTCATCACATGATCAAAGAATGTATGAAAAAAACTATTTAAAAAAAGAGATAATTTCTATATATGGCCAGCATTCTAGCCCCCTCAAAAAATTATCAGCTGCGCCCTCAATTTCCCCCCCCCCCCTTTTCTCCTGAGTGAGGGTTGAGTGCGCTCAAGAGCCCAGACCAGATTAATTGTCCAGAACATTTGTAATATTTTGAGGAGGGCGTGGTTCTATGTGCGCGATATGCTGGGAGAAAGAATCTCATAACATTTATGTCTGAAGTTTGATTGGTTGTCAGCTAGTAGATTTAAGTTTTCGAACTTTTCCACGAAGACAACTATAGGGCCATATGATCATACGCTGAATCTTTACACATTTCGGATTTTTCCAAAACCAAAAACTGTTTTCAGTACCTTTTGGCAAAGTAAAGCACTCAAAATATAAAAAATTTAAATTTAAAGGTCGTATTGTAAAGAAGCTTGCTCTCCTACGAAATACGCCTGGCTAAATCAGAGGCAGCTGAAACCAAGGAGAAAACACCTGGAAGGAAAAGGCAAGAACACACAGCTAACAACAGGGTAGAGAACAAGCGGTCATTACTCGAAGGGAAGGAAGCATCAAGCCCAGATACGGCGCAAATACTAAAACTTTGATCACTTTAGTCAGACCACAAATATAGACGGAGACTGTTAGCAGCCTCCCCTGGCTAGCAGCAGTATGAAAGTGGTCGAACTTTTAATTTTTTTTTTTTTTAAAGGAATCGGAATTTTATGTGAGTGTTTCTCTAATTGTTGAAATAGCGAGGACAGTGGAGAACGGGTATCTCTGTCTGTCGGTCTGTTTATCCATCCATGCATTGTCTGTCGGTCCCACTGCCTGCTTTTCTTTTTTCAATTTTTCATCAACGCCCCCCCCCCCTCCCTCTCCCCTTTTCAACTGCAAATGATACTAGCGCCCCCTGGATGGTCCCAGCAGCCCTCTCACTCAAATTTGACCGAGGCAGCTACTGCCCCCTGGACCATCACAGCGTCCTCAGGGGGCGGTAGCGCCTATTCGGGAAAACACCAAGTCAGCATATTACGCTGCCCATACACAACGTCAGCATCAGCAAGTGGTTTAGCGCGACTTCAGGTGAAGCCAAGAATAGTAACAGCATTACGTCGTACTTTCACTAGCAATACTCGTCTTCTAGAGGATGATGTGTCTAGTGGAAGATATTACTCTCACTCTAAGATGACATATCTGTGACAAGACGACACCGTCTCTAAGATACAATACTGTTTATTGACATCTAATCACTTACATCAATTGTCCCGTCCATGTCCTAATCAACAGCTTTCACGCTCCACATTGTTCAGACGCTAACACGCTGACTCCTCACACATTCACCAACCAGAGTTCGGCGTCTTCAATTCCACATCGTCGCATAGATGGATCTGGTCATGCATCGAATTTCACATCTGACTTGGCTGGACTTTACTTTGATGGATGTTTTCGTCTGGTCTTCCTCTCGCAACAGTCAGTTTCACGTTCTCATTCGCACGATCACTCTCAGGTCCTCTCGTTCTGACGGTTAACACATACTGTCCTGATCAGATTGGCTCGAGGCCTGACACGAAAGTGCTGAGCGGCACTTTTTGTTTCCGAGCAAGTGTCTATTTTTCTTTATCTTCGACAATGTCTGGCCGAATGCAAGATGCAGTGTTAAGTTGAGTTGAGTCATTATCACAGCACTTGGGACATTCTCATACGTGTTCCCTCCTCATCTTCGGCAGCCAGCGCAGAGTTCCAGTACTGATGGTACAGATCACAATCTGCATAAATGTCCGTCTTGCCTTTTCTTTGAGTGTAGTGAGCTGACCAGACCCACTGGTTATGCCCAGCTGCTTTATTCTCTCCAGGCCATAATATTCTTGTGTCTCCACTGATTCCGTTGCTTGTTCCCAAATCGCCTTGACCACATCTGTCTTGTCATGTATCAATTCACCACCCAGTGGTGCAGATCCAGCCCATCAATCTACCTGATCATTACCCACCACGCCGGCATACTCTGAAGAAAAGACCCAATGTATGCTCACTACCCTTGGCCTTACCAGTGAAGCTTGCCACTTTGCTTGAAGCATCGCTGTCTTAACCTTTCTCATCATGCTTTCAGAGTCTGTTACAATTATGCCGTGTTGCTACAGAAAAGCAGCGAAGTTCAAGTCACCGAATAAGGCCGTAAATGTCAGTCGCAATACAACGAGTCAACAATTTTTTTAATGAATAAAGCAGAAGAACAATAAATATAGTTATTCTAAACACAAATTACTCCTAATGTCAACGTTTTTTTTTTTTTTATCTCCCGCATGTCAGCCCAACGATGAGATCAAAAACTTTTCCGTTGGTGCCTGGGTGGTAATCGTAGTTTTCTTTGGCCATAGTCATGTCCCAATGGGAGATAAACAGCATTTTATCTTTAACATCTTGGAATATTTCTTGTTGCAAATCCATGATATGTGTTCCCAACATGTCTCCAGCCGCATAATGTTCAGGCCAGCCGAACCAGGCTATATGTGGACCCTGTTGATGGTTAGAAAAAAAAAAACTATATACATATATGCATATGAAATATGTAAAACGAAAGTTGAAATGCATTTTAAAGCAATTGTCTGAGAAAAATCATAAACACAATATAATTATTTATGTTGTCCCTTTTCAGGACGCAGTTTTTTTCGTTATTTTAAAGCGCCCCCCACCCCCCCCTTTCCCCCGGCTATGCTCCGGAGCCCTAATATAACCTCACGGTTGAACGGTGTTTCTGTGATCTCTTCCGCGTGATCCTCGTCAGCATGGTGGCGCTTTGTGTCACTGTGTGTTATTTATTCGTTTGGTGGATGCCTTGGTGCGGTTAAGTTTCATTCATTCAAAATAAAATATGATGAATTCCAAAAGCGTGAGGAGATCAGAGAAATGTCATTCTATCTATGAATTTACCTGTATGGACTGCAGTAAGACAAAGAAGGTAAAGATAAATTAGGCACACTCTAGGACAAAATGAGGAAAAAATTATGAAACAGATACTGAAACAAACGGTCTGAGAAAAGGAGGACGTCCATGGGAAACATTAAGCAAAAAATTTTTACGAGAATCAAAACATGCTGGGCTAAACACTATATCAGAAATCGAGAAAGTAGCATGCAAAACAGTAGAGTGGGGGAACCAAATGCGTGTCCTATGTGTCGTCTTAACGCACAAAAAAGATGACGATCATTGTATGTGTGTGTTTATATATTATAAACCCCAATAAAGGTTGGTATGGAAAAAGAAATCTGTTTTTCAACAGTCTTTAATGGTCAGTTTGTAATAATGAAAAATATTTTGATATGTAACAAATAAAAAAAGTGTATATGTGAGGGGTCGATAAAAAGTGACTAAATTTTTTAGCATTATATATATATATATATATATTGACCACCAAAGAATGATGAAAAACAAATTTCTTTTTTTCCTTCTTCTTCTTCTTCTTCTTCTTCTTCTTCTTCTTCTTCTTCTTCTTCTTCTTCTACCTCCTCTTTCTCTTCTTTTCCTCATCATCCTTTTGTTCCTTTTTCTCCTCTTCCTCCTTTTACTAATTTGTATTTTCTTCCACCTCTTCGTCCTTTTCATCCTCTCCCCCCGCTTGGTCCTGCTCTTCTATCAATTCTTCTTGTTTTTTTTTTTCTTTTTCTGCTTCTTCCTCCTCCTCCTCTCCTTCTTTTTCTTTTTCTCCTTCTTCTTCTTCTTCTTCTTCTTCTTCTTCTTCTTCTTCTTCTTCTTCTTCTTCTTCTTCTTCTTCTTCTTCTTCTTCTTCTTCTTCTTCTTCTTTTTCTTCTTCTTCTTCTTCTTCTTTTTCTTCTTCTTTTTCTTCTTCTTTTTCTTCTTCTTCTTTTGCTGTTTCCTCTTCTTCTTCTTCTTCTTCTTCTTCTTCTTCTTCTTCTTCTTCTTCTTCTTCTTCTTCTTCTTCTTCTTCTTCTATCATTTCCCTAGAGATTAGTTTATATAATGATGAGTCATGGCATCAAACGCCCGATTGGCCACTGGCATAAAAAGAATCCTATTTTCTTTTATTGCTACACCACAAAGGAGATATTATAGTTGCCAGAACTGAAGCTTGGAGTGCTGATTCTCCTAACTCATCATCATGTAGCAGGCCCTATGCAGAACGTTGATTTTCTTCCTTAAGGACTGTTCTCTTAATATTTTACATTCAAAAAAAAATCAGTAGGCTATAATTTAATGTGTTTAGTCTTACCTGTAAAACGACTTGTACATTTGGGTTGCGTTGAAATAGACGGACCAGTGCATCTTTGATGTTGCGAAATAAGAAATCAGAAACGCTGATGTGCGAGACAGTCAGATGGTAAAAATGATTTAGAATAATGAGGTAATGTCCGTGTGATGGTATTTCATCAAGGGCTTTAGATGTTGGAATAAGGCTGTCCAGAGTTGCCAGTTGAGCCTGCAATAAATATATATATATATATAATTTTAAAAGTCCAAAAAGTGCTCAAGCAACTTGTACTTCTACTGGAATGTAGAGCCGGTGAACGCAAAGAAGAAGATAATAAATAACAGACTGTTGAGATTATTTGACCTATCAATGCTTCTGGTTCAATGTAAAAAAAAAAAAAACTATAAAAGGTGGACACACAACAGTCTTGGTCGGGAATAAACAGGCTGGATCTGCACCACTCAGTCGTGAACTGATGATGCATGGCAAGGCAAATGTGGTCAGAGCCCTTTGAGAAGCAAGTGACGAAGTCAAAAGAGAAACAAGATTATTATGCCTGGAGAGAATGATACATCTGGATGTGACCAGACCAGAGGGTTCTGCCGGCACACTACACTTAGAGGAAAGACAAGATGGACAAACAACCAGACTACAATCGGCACTAGTAGTGTTGGAAATCTGCCCTCGTTTCTGGAGATCGGGACAAAGTGCGAATGGAAATTCCCCGAGTGCTGGGATGTCAGTTCTTGACTTAACTCAACGCATTATGGATACAATGAAAAGTAAATAATATTGACTCAACTCAACGCAATATGAATAAACTGAAAAGTAAAGAATATTGACTTAACTCAACGCAATATGAATAAAATGAAAAGTAAAGAATATTGACTCAACTCAACGCAATATGAATAAACTGAAAAGTAAAGAATATTAACTTAACTCAACGCAATATGAATAAAATGAAAAGTAAATAATATTGACTCAACTCAACGCAATATAAATAAAATGAAAAGTAAAGAATATTGACTCAACTCAACGCAATATAAATAAAATGAAAAATAAAGAATATTGACTTAACTCAACGCAATATAAATAAAATGAAAAGTAAAGAATATTTACTCAACTCAACGCAATATGAATAAAATGGAAAGTAAAGAAGATTGACTCAACTCAACGCAATATGAATAAAATGAAAAGTAAAGAATATTGACTCAACTCAACGCAATATGAATAAAATGAAAAGTAAAGAATATTTTCCAACGACTTCCGGCGTACTGGGCATATGGTGTTAGACCTTCATTTTATATACAAATCGATAGTCTTTGCGCCGGTCGCCTGTTTTTCATGGGACTTTACCTGGTAAGCATTTTTAGGCTGAGTCAGAAAAGTTAAGTTTACAAAAAAATATCCTGCTCGATGCGGATTTGATCGCACGACATTCGTGCCCAAGGTGATTTAATTACTTTGTGTCACCGGGTGTTAATCACTTGTGAATCACTACAACACGACCACTCTCTAATATATATGAGCATGAAAGTATTGAACTTAAAATAAATTACAAACTAAAATATAATGCATCTTAAAATACTCAGCAAAAGTATATAAACTTAAAAAAAGATCAAATGTTCAATTAAAATACAGCGATAACCTGGGGCTTGAATCTAATTCATTCTCTGACTATGTTCGCCAACCGAAATGTTCGTGAGCAAAAACAATTTTTTTTTTCTTATAGAAATCAATGCAAGTCAACTAATCCATTTGCCGGCCCCAAAACATAATGTTTTTGTGTGACAAGTATCTATAATATAAAAAATACAGTATAACTTTACCTTTGTGTTTGACAGATGATGGCACACATAGATCATAGAGGAGGAGGAGGAAGACTTCTTTGAAAAAGAGCCCCATTCCATAACAAAGTTGGGCAACTGTAGGTATTTCTGGTAATCTTGCGAAGTGATTGGGTTGCTCGCTTGGTCAGTAGCAATAATTTTTCTACTTCTTCTAACTTTCCTAGAGCTTTGATTCCTTAGTCACTCCTTTAGCCAGATCATCTGATTTAGCGCAACTTCACTGCTATAAGATAGTTCAGATTGTATCTTTGGCTATGGCGTACTGCTTGGTGAGATCAAAAATACAGAGACCATTCTCATGTTTGGTAATTTCCTTGTTCGTCTCTACTGAAATACGCTAAGGCTTATTTACAACACTGTCACTAACACTTTTCACTTTCTTAGGATCCTTAATAAGGGTTAATCCAAAAAAAGGCCGGGTAGGGGTGGACAAAAAAAAAAGAGGGGGGGGGGGGGGGCCGGTGGTGTTGTTATCAAAAACTTTGCAATGACAAACGTTGTTCACAACACGCAAAAGGGTTTGGACTGCCGATTTCTGGTTCTTCTTCTTCTCTTCTTCTTCTTCTTCTTCTTCTTCTTCTTCTTCCTTCTCTTCTTCTCTTCTTCTCTTATTCTTCTTCTTTTTCTTCTTCTTTCTTCTTCTTTTTCTTTTTCTTCCTTCTTCTTCTTCTTCTTCTTCTTCTTCTTCTTCTTATTCTTCTTCTTCTTCTTCTTCTTCTTTTTCTTCTTCTTCTTTTTCTTTTTCTTCTTCTTTTTCTTCTTCTTCTTCTTCTTCTTCTTCTTCTTCTTCTTCTTCTTCTTCTTCTTCTTCTTCTTCTTCTTCTTCTTCTTCTTCTTCTTCTTCTTCATCTTCTTTTTCTTTTCGCCCTTCACCCTCTGTAAACTCCTGTATAAAGTACAGGTTGTTCATCAACTTCTGGACTTTGGTCCTGATCCTGAACTTGCGTTTAGCGTACACATCCATTTTACAGATCTGGCTTTTTTTGTATGCAGACTGTTGGTTTCTTGCCTCTAAGGCAGATTAACTAACAATTTGACACCCCATACGATATGCTTGCCGGGGAGCAGTGGTTCTGTTCTTTTTTTTTTAATCCAAAACAGAACTCATCCACACAGGGAAATTGATCACTTTAACTCGAAAGTGTTACATTAAAATAACTTACTCCATTCATGAAGGGGTTGGTATGGGGGCTCCAGCTTAAGGTAAAGTTGTTTGTTTTGTGAGCGCACAGTAGAGGTTTGTGCCAACGTTTCGTTACAGCTTTCACGACCTCTGTACATTTGGAATGCTTCACAATGTTATAGTAATGACTTCGTCCATTGGAATCACCCAAAATAAGTACCTGCGTGGATTAAATAAACACGTATATATTTATCTAGGTCTGTTTGTTTGTATTAATGTTTGTGCATGTAAACAGATAGATTGAAAGAAATTAAATTTGGTAGTAGAAGTATAGACTATACTAGCTTTATATATATTATATATATATATATATATATATATATATATATATATATATATATATATATATATATATATATATATATATATTTCAGAAACCATAAGTTCTTAACCCTTTGGCTCGGTACTATGGATATCGCAACCCTTTGGCCTTGATTCCATGGAGTGAACCCGGACCACAAGGAGTTCGTCACCCGGTAACCGCGATGTCAGGTTTAACCAACTACGCTAGAGAGCCAGGTAGACTATACTAGTAAACGTTATAGTATGAAATATATGAAAGCTAGAGACTACAAAATAGAAGACCAAAAAGAATCCTGCGAATATTTTGATCAAACAAAATCGGTCACACATCAAGAACTGATGGAGAAAACGAAAGGGTAATCACCCGCAAACGTAATCAACGGAAGAAGATGGAGATGGCTTGTGTATGTTTGCATAATTCCTTGTGCAAGTTTGGCTACAGCAGCTCTGTGATGGACAGCGGATGGAAAATGGAGATATAGACCTGGAGAAGAACATTGGAAAGGGAAATGAACGAATGCAAAATGACATGGGATACCATGGGCAGATAAGGAGCCAAACGGCATCGATTCAGATATCTTGTGAATGTCGTATGTATCAACAACGACATGAAGAAGACATGTATAAGTGGTTTTTCAATCTGTTTTAGTTGCCCACCCCCTCCCCCTTTCTTGACTGTGTGTTAAGACATCTGAGCCTCTTTCCCACCCAGATTAAAATGACGTGGACAAAAAGAACAATCTCAAGCATTATCGACAAGAATTCACAGAAAATATAGACATACATGAAAGTGTCAAATAACGTCTAAAAACTAACAATCACAGCAGCTGGTAATTTAATGCCCTTATATTAATGTGCTTATTAACACTATTTTATCTTCCTTATATCTGATATTGATGGATGGCTATTAGATAAGGCAATGGAGATCACTATATGTTTGTGTATATATATATATATAAAACCATCACAATGTGGGACACTTAAGCACAGCTAGACTTTAGGTTACGTCGTAAGCATCGTCGGGGGCCTAATATAAACATACTATTGAATGGGGTTTCTGGGACTTGTGCCAGGGGATTCTCATCCGAGTGTTAACACTTTGTGTCACCGGGTGTTAACAGCTCTTTTTGCAGTCCTAGTAAGATAATACTTCACTCATCACAAGAACACTCGCCACACCAAACTCACTGACCGCAGTGATTTGTTTGTATCACTTTTTATTTTAATTTCTAATTAAACTAAAAACAACTGTTAGCATAGCAGATTATTACAGTACAAAGGGGTGAGGCTTTCAATTTCATGGAAAATGATTTGTCATTGAATAGACTGCATACCCTGGGTGTACCAATTTTAGCTCCGAGACAGGAAAACCATGCGGGAGCCGCCCGTCTTACATCAGCCATACAGAATGGGAGTTGTTAGCCTTAAAACCCCTGAAAACTTAGGAGGAGGTCGGAGCACTTATGGTCATGTCTGATGTGCGATGTAGATGATCTCAAAATGAACAATGTACAATTACAGTACACATGCACATACACTCAATTTCAGCATTGTTGGACGCCCCCCCCCCCCCCCATCCCCTTTCCCTTTTAGCATCCTTCCCTCTTATGTTGCGAGTCTTCAGACTAAAAACCATTGATATAGATAGATACTTATAAAACAACAGGAGAAAAAGTTACTGAGTGACAAGCACCCTTTTCTGTCACTCTGTTTCCCATGTGTTGCAATTCTCGTTTACCTAGGGAAGTTTACCTAGGGTTTAACGTAAATGTAGCTAAAACATTGGTTCCAATTAATGCTACTGTAAGTAAAGATTGCCGGTGTGATTTTGACATCTCTCAACGAATGTTGGAACGTCTTAAAAAAATTATGTAATTTTCACCATTTTTTTTTAAACTGCCCACGATGTGGAAAGGCTGCTAAAATTTTACCTAACACAAATTTTACTTAAGTGACAAGACTGCTCCGGCTACTACTTTTATTTTAATATTACCTCCAATATTTCTACTAAAATCTACTAACTGATACTGCGGCTACTACTACTACTATCACCGCTGCTGCTGCAGCTTCTGCTGCTGCTGCTACTACTACTACTACTACTACTACTACTACTACTACTACTACTACTACTACTACTACTACTACTACTAATACTACTACTACTAATACTACTACTACTACTACTACTACTACTACTACTACTACTACTACTACTACTACTACTACTAATACTACTACTACTACTACTACTACTACTACAACTGCTAGAGAAGTAAAACCATTTCAACAGCTGTTGATAAAAAAGAAAACCACAGATATCCTGCAGTTGCTGGAGTTTGTATATGAAGGATAAGCAACTAACTCAAAAGAAGACAAAGGATATTTTTGGTCACATAAGCAGAAGAAAATCAGTGAACGGTAAAACAATAAATGAAAAAATAAGAGACATAATAAGCTGTACGTACGCCACGCTAAAAAAAAAAGAGAGAAAAAAAAAAAAAAACAGATCTGGCTCAGAACGAGCAAACGAGAGAACAAATACACTTAATTTTCGTCATAGAAAACCCTGGAAAGGTACTTAAAATATATAATTATATCAACTTGCATCGTCGTGTACAGTTTACAAACAAATGTATCATAATCATATGAACTGGTAGTGAGCTCGTTTCTCCACCTCACACTATCACCCAAATCAGGGATTAGACCAGAGCTCTTGTCCCGCCCCATACATATGACAAACATTTCAAGGCAATTATCTCTGTGCCTTACTTTTACCTCCCTTCCCCCCCCCCCCCCCCCCCCCCCACCCAACCTATCTTGTCAGTTGTCATCGTTTCTTCATTTTGATTTTTAAAAAGTATACAATGCAACATTTTACCTGTTTATTTTGAAAGCATTTTGCGTACTCTAGTTGAGGTACTGCACAGAACCGAGGATACCAGTTATTTCCAGAAAAGTGCCCAGTTGGGATTTCTTGAGTCCAAGTGGTCTGTGGCGAGATTTTGTTGCAAGGTATTTTTGTACTGGAATTTCCTATTTGAGAGCACAATAACAATTACGCTTTGATATATTTTTGTCTTATAGCAATATGTTGTTGAATGTTAAATATTGAATTAAGAATTGACATTGTAGCATTCAGGACACTTACATAAGCGCTCCGTCTACATCTTCAGCAGCAAGCAAAGAGTTTCAGTTCCGATAGTTCCAGTAATAGTCTGATTGTACATCCGTATCGCCTTTCCACTGAAAGTTAAGCGTTCCCGCAGCACCATTCTCCTAAGACCGTATTTATCTATTTGTGCCTCCGCACTGTTCACTCGCCCCCAAAGGGCCCTTAAAACATCTAGCCTGTTATACATCAATTTATGACCAAGTTGTGCAGAACCGACATGTCTATTTGCCCGCTCGTTTACCAACACACCACCATGACCTGGAAAAAAAATCCAAAGGGCGCTAACTACCCCGGAATCCTTGAAGCGACGCTTGCCACTCTGCACGGAACATGGCTGCGATCCAGTTACAATTACGTCATGTCTGTGCAGCTGATTCTCAATCAAGTGGAAGGCAGCAGCGACTGCATATGGTAATATCACCACCTGCTAGTTAATAAGTAGCTTAGTGATCGTAAATTGTGGGTAAATGATTGTCTATATGTATCGATTAAAATGCCTGAATAACTGATTTAATGGCAATTAGGTGCTGTCTAACACCGTTCCAAAACGGGACATAATATTCAGTTATTATATAGCCCCATTACGGCTGTTGCCTGGGTCCTAATATAACCCCTACGGGTTGAACGGGGTTTCTGGAACCTATGCCCGAGTGATCTCATCCGAAATATGGCATTTTGTGTCACCAGGTGCTTATCGCTCAGTACGATGTCCTGGTGGGGTTGAACTTCAATCAATCAGGTGCAGTCTTCATCTTTTAATATTAACTTCACACTTGCATCGGTGAATACCTTTTGGTCTCTGGCCTACTTTTTTGATTTGATGATTGAAATTCAAACTCGACAGCGAGAAATGATGGCCAATTTGGTCACTGCTTCATTTATTTGCTCTCACTATGCAAACAAACTGACGACACTGGTCATCTAGGGTTGGAGTACTTTAACTTTAGGAGTCTCTATGGCAAAATGGTCACGCCGTTTGTCTCACGCAGTGAATGTTGTGGATTAAGTTCACATCTACACAGTCCAATACACGAGAGTATTTTTACAGAGATCCCTGGATTACAGAAATCGTAACTAGTGTAGAAAGCATTTATATGGAAACTGATTCTGTTATCGTGAATTTGCACAGCAAAACATTCATGTCTTTCTATGTTATTTTTAATTTCTGTACTCAGGAAATTTTCCATTTAAAGCTAGACACTATACCTATTTTCTCCCAGTTGGTGGGTTAGAAAATACAAACTGTTCTTGTAGCTTTCCAACAGTGGCCGCAGAATCGCTATTAACAAAATATTACAGAAAAACCTCATTAACAGTTCTACAGAACCTGAAAATGTTTGTTTAAAAATAACTTATGCTAATCGAGTCTCGAATTATGACATTCATATTGGCGCACAAATCTTGTTCACATTAACTGAATGTTCCTCCTAAACAAGTTTTATAGTATTTCCCACAACAGTAGCTTCAAATACCTGCTGCAGAAAACCTTTGTGGAAATAGCATACATTTCTGTACTTCTCTTTGCATTGTGCATGCCTTTCGTTTACATATTTGCAAAGCTAATTATTTTACTTTTTGTAGGTTAAATATTTTAATTACAGTCCATTGGCACCGTTTAATTATTCATTTCAAACAATATCTTTGCAGGTGAGGTTCTTTGCTCAAAACAGTCATCAACTTCCTAAAATTAATAACTATAGAAATAAGAATATTTCTGTAGTGACTAGAAGACATTAAATAAGAAAAGACGTCATCAGGGAAAGAGCCGGTATTATATGAAGACAGCAAATAAATGATGTATGTTTTCTCGCCTTGGGTAAATGTCCTCTGGTGTTATATGAATGAAGCCATGTATAAGAAGAGGAGAAGAGAATAGCCATAGACAGACAAAGAACAAGGATTTAAAGATAACAAGGAAATTAGACGCCATTTGCAGATGTCTATAGTCGAGGCGCCGGAACAGATAGAACCTCCTAACCCTGGATATCAAAAGCGCTAAATGAGAAAGTGGAGAAAAGAAAGTTAGGATAGTTTTCCCAAATTATTAACTTCTCTTGCGTGTCACGTAGAAACAAGAATGGCAAACCTCTGGGTCTTTCTTCTTCTTTAGTCCTGTGCTTTCAGTCGTCTAACAGATGATAGGTAGCCGCGCCAGGGCTCGCTCGACTGCTAGGTATGCTGGGGTGTTGTGAAGCATAGGCTGTCAGTGACTCCTTAAATCCATGTTCTTCTAGGTCTTCCTCTGCGTCTTAATGTTTCCATTTTCAGGTTGTATGCTTTCGCAGCTGGCATTGTTGGATTCATTCTTACCAAGTGACCAGACTGTCGCAGTCTTCTCAGTTAATTTAATAATGGGTTGTGTTCCAACAGTTCTTCTAATGTCACCATTCCCCACATTATCTGTCCTGCTTTTGATAAATCTTTCCAAATATACTAAACTTAGCAAGTCGCATACATCTTTTTGAAATTTTTTTTTTCAACTTATCCAAATTACAAAGACGATTATTTGATTATAACCCTTTATTATCTCGTTAGTTATCAAGACATTCTTTGTATCTATATTGTTTTGCATATATAATATATCATTTTTTTTAATCTCTAGTACAATTTTCTCCAATGTCGACCCAGCCTTGAGTGGGTACCGGGTGCATCACCCATCTTGATCTATAAAAAAAAATAGGTCTAGCCCTATATGCCCTATACGTCTAAAGGCGTAGAAAAGAGTCCTTTCCTTTTTTTTTAACTTTTAGTACATTTTTAACTCTCTCATGACCACATAAGGTTTTTTTTTTTTTTTTTTTTTTTTGTAGGAATAAGATGTCAGTGAGAATTATCGGTGATTAAAATTCATTTGTGCATTACTTCAAAAGCAGTAATATAACACTGGTCGTGATCTTTGGACAAGCCAGATTTCTTCAATGTGTTGTGATTGAATGTCATGCTATGTTAAGTTACGTTATCACAATGGATGTCTTTGCACATTGGGCATCCTCTTTCCTGCTCAGTCCTCCGATGCAGCAGCCACTCCAAGGTACCTCCACTGATTGTTCCCATTAGGAGTTGGTTTAATATCCCCTGTCTTTACCTCGAAGATGACATATTCGTTCTCCATCAAGTTTAACCCCTCGGTCACGCATCGTTTTAGCCTAAGATATTCGCCATTATCCTCCAACCTAGTCGGTACAGCGTTGATGATATCAGCTCTGTCCATATTTCTTCCCTTTCCCACGTGTGCATTAAGTGCCTGTTGGTCAGCTATTTTATTACTACTGACTTCTGTGTGCAGAGCTGTGTAGGTCGAGACCATTGAGATTGATTGTGATTTCCTAATGCTTTCTACCCATCCGGAACGTACATGCCCGTAGCAATTTTCTGAAGCGTGTTCAAAAAATCTAAAACAATTCCCACATTTGTGGCTGCTTGCTCTGCAATCAGCACTTATCACCGTTGTCGCGCTTGACGTAGTCGTCTGGTAAGCACTCTTGTATTGTTTTCGCCACCCTTTGTGCTGTGGGCGTCCATGCAATGAATACAACATGTAAGAGAGCATGTCAGTCTAAGGAGAGCATTCAGCATATGGAGTAATTCACACATCATGCTTTCTTTGGACTCAAGATCTAAAGCAAACCTGGCTACCGTTTTAGTTCCTTTTCCGATAAAAGTAAAGTAAAGTAAAGGACCCTTTTCCACGTCTTCTGGTGTATTGAGCATATAGGGCAAGACATATATTTTTGTAGACCAATCGACACTTGGTCGGTGATGTGGTCAGCATCACGCCGGCCGCCTTTACTTATCAGAAATGCACCTTCTACCAACTCAAGGCTGTGTCAGGTTAAAAGCCAAAATCATTATTTCGAAAAAAAAGCAGGTTTCTGTCAGGACCCGAACTCACGACCTTCCGATCACCAGGTCAGCATCTAGACGCTACACCACAGCGATCCTCTTTTCTGATTAATGTTAATCTTATTTTTTGTAACAGACACATGCTGCCATGTGAACACTCACCTGGTAACACAGTCAGCTCAAACTTGTTTGCAATCCTTCTTATTCTTGGCTCCCTATATGATTAGAATAATGAAGAAGCAAATACACATCAACGCACCCAATACTGACAACACACTTAATGTATCTGGATCAGTCTCAGGCCCTTGTTATTTAAATGTGTTATATTCTAATAAAGCTATACTTGAATGTATTAAATGTTACTTTAACTTGTTAAATTCTAAGAGGCTATACTTGCAAGTATAACCTGTTATTTAAACTTGTTATATTCTAATAACGCTACACTTGAAGTATTAGATGTTACTTAAATACGTTATATTCTAAGAAGCAATACTCAAAAGTATTAAATGTTTAGGTCTGAAGGAGTTACATAGAGCTACGGAGTTGGTGCTTTGCCAACACTCTCGACAAGCAGCCGACCCTTGTATGGATATAATCTCAGCAATGTGACCCAATGAAATAAAGTCACTTCTCTATAGTATTAACAGATATAAACCCTGCTGAAATGCTTTGATCTCTAGATTTGAAAAGAATCACTGAAAACAACACACAATAGGCTAATTAAAGTATGAAAGCAAGTGTACTTAACTACATGAGCGTTTGAATATTTCAGCCTCTGCCTCTGTCAAAGGATAATTGACGTCTTCACGAATGACAACAGTCCCATCGTAGTCTGAACAGTTCAGCTGACGTTTGATTGGATGGCCACAAAACCAAGGCGACCCGTTGGCGTCTGTAAGGTTACACATCTCAGTGGGTTCAAATCCTGGCACGACGGGAGTGTGGTAACACGGAGTTGCTTCACCTGTCTGTGATATATGAACATCGAGAGGCACAGGTAATCTGAAACAGGCACCGATTTCTGGTATGCGGTGTTAGGCTTTCACATGTTCAAGGCCACAATATACTAGATTACACTGAAAGGGTCCTCAGATCTTTTGAAAATAGACTTATGTGTCTATTAGGCTCTCTGACCCCTAAAGGCCTTAATGTCCAATTCAGTTTTATCCAAATATTTTCTTGAGTTACATCTCTTGCTGTAACATAACAACCCTGAATCCTTTCTCTCTAGGTCACTTCCTGCACAGTAGCCTACTCCTGTGACGTTACGTGGCGTGGAGCTTCTACTGTTTAATACCAGTGCTCATAAAAAAAAACTAAGTTATGACAAGTACTTGTTTGTAGAACCAAGGTATTACTGTCCGTTTGTGTGTCAAGCTAAAGCGAGCTTTCTAGTCATAACTTTCATTTTATCGTTGGTGACTGTGGAGATGGAAAGTTCACTGGTTCTACTTTTTGACTGGACTTTTGACATTTTGTTAATATTTCAGATGGGGTGAGCCATGCCCCTTTACGTTTCCTTTCTTTCCTAAATCATTCACAAAATAGTCAGAAAGATTACCAGATACTCGTGGTGATAAAGATAATTGTCATAACTAATTGTTTCCGGACAGTGTCCACAATATGTAGGGCACTCATCCTAATGAGAATTACTTGATACCGCTGGACTGTGAAAAGTTAGGCTCCTAATGTTCTAACAAAAGGTATGGTGATGAATTCCTTTCCCATTATCTGTCCTTCCTAAATAACTGTCAAAATACTGAGGAAGATTCACTGGCTCCTATTATAATAAATTACAAAGTGAAGGGAAAGACTGTGAGCCACTTGCCGTGTAAACGGCACAACAAAATGTGATGATCATGATTTCTACGAGTATAAGTGAATCCTTATGTCGTACTGGTCAGCGAGATAGCCCATGTAAATTGCATGATGGTATCAGAGAGGAGATCTGGCATGTGCAACCTTAATCAAAACACAGCTTTATGGGACATGGGGAGATTTGGAAAGTACAAGAACTTTTATCAAGGCTACTGGACATCTGCGGCGTCCGTGGCTAAGGCGTTGCGAGTCCGACTCGTGAGCCAGCATACCGCGATCGAAACCCACTGCAGGCTGCGTGGATTTTTGTCATGGTATGGGACGTCGCAGGTCGACCCAGCCTAAAATGGGTACCAGGATGGGCTGTCCTGGGAAAGTAAAGACAGCCGGCATAATGCTGACCACATTACCCACAGAGTGCTGATGGTCTATAAAAATATGGGACGCTCTGCCCAATGCCCGATGCGCCGAAAGGAGTGAAAAGGGATCTTTACTTTACTTTACTGACTGGACATCTGATACATATATAGTTTTCTTGCAGAAGAAACGAAAAAGAAGAGAAAGAATGAAACCTGTCTCTGTTGGACATTGAATCCGGACGACGCTGTCTCGGCAGTTATGAAGAGATAGCTGACTGCAGTCTAACCGTTATCAAGAGACTAATTTACTGAAACAAGCTATGAGTAGGAAGCGGAACGAGGTGGGGAGGGAACAAGCGCAAAAAGTACGCAAAGTTCATTGTGTCCTTTACAGGACTTTGTAGAAC